TGGCACCGAACCTCGGCTCCGAGGGGTCGTCTGCGGGAGCTGCTATCACAGCCGGTGCTCATCCCCATCCTCGCTGCCCCCCAGCCCCCAGCCCCGCAAGGTGCGCCCCATCCCGCCCACGGAGGGGACTGGTCACACCGGAGACCCACCGGAATAGAACAGGCAGAACAGCGCCTCGAGGGCACACCGCCCCCCACCCCCACCTACCGTCCAGGCCAAGGACGTCCAAGAGCTCCATCCACACCTTCCACAGCGTTTCCAGTAACACGTCCACGCCGTGCACGAACTTCTCCATCAGCCTGGCCAGCAGCTGCGGACACGAGAGAAGGTGGTGACCACCCCAGCCGCCATCATCCGGGCCCAGCGAGCTCACTGCTTGCCATCAGCGGGAAACAGAGCCAGGGGTCACCACGGCCACCAGCGGCCAGGGGACTGGCGAGCCGGGACCGGCTGTCGTGGGCCACGAACTGAGCGAAATGGAGTGCCACCTGCCTCCTGCACACCCCGCGGGGCCCCACGGGAGGCGGGAGCCACCAGGGCTCTGCTGTCCCCGGCCTGACGTCCCTTTTTTATGAGTTTGTTGTTGTTCGTCTTCACCTGAGGACATTTTCCCATTGATTTTTAGAGAGAGTGGAAGGGAGGGAAGGGGAGAGAGAGAGACATCAACGTGAGAGAGACACACCCACGGGTTGCTCCTGCAGGCACACCAGCCAGGGTGGTGAAGGAATCTGCAACCCACGCCTGTGCCCCTGACAGGAATCGAACCCGGGACCCTTTGGCGTGAGGGCTAGCCGGAGAGACAGAGACATCAGCGGGAGGTGGATGGGCTGCCTCCGGCCACCCCACATTGGGGATCGAGCCTGGGAGCCCCGACAGGGAATGGAACCTGTGACCTCTCGGTTCATGGGCTGACGCTCAACCACTGAGCCACGCTGGCTAGGCTGCTTCCTGGTTTCTAAATCGGTGACGCTCACCTGCAGGCTCACCAAGGCCCTGCTGGCGGACACCGAGGCTGCCCCCAGTCTGTGCCGTTCCGGGCAGCGGGACCCTTGGCTCAGGTGGGCGGGTAAATGCCTCCCCGGGAACGGGCTTAGCATTTAAAACGCTCGCCTGCCCGGCCGGCGTGGCTCAGCGGTTGAGCATCGACCCATGAACCAAGAGGTCACAGTTGGATTCCCGGTCAAGGTGCGTACGAGAGGCAACCGATCCATGTTTCTCTCTCTCTCCCTTTTCCTTCCTTTTTCTCTAAAAGCAACAAAAACATATTTTTAAAAATTGGAAGGTAAAAAAAAAGAGAACTGTTTAGAAAGAAAACACCACCAGCAACGAGACTGTGTACAGAGGACACAGCAGGCAGAACCACTGTGCGTGGTCAGAGGCCAGCGGAGTGGTTATCACATGGGGTGTATGGGGGGGCGGGGACAATTCGCATGCTTACCCTGCAGGAAAGGGCACCGATTATAATTTAATTACAAATGTAAAATGCACAGAGCAGGCCCTTTGGGCAGCAATTCCATTTCTAACAACTTACAGATGAAAATGTCCAAGTGCACACACACACACACCCAAAAAACCCAACAAACCTATGAAAGCCGTTCCTGTAGCCTTGCTTAAGTGGCAAAGACAGGAAGCTGATAACGCAGCCACCGTTGGGGGTGGCTGAAACGATGGCGTAGCCTTAGAATAATTTGCTCCAGGGACTGAGACGGTCCGATCTCCAAATGTTAATGGAAAAGGAAGGTGCAGAACAGCGCGCACAGTGCAAAACAAACCCCAAACCGGCGAGGGGCGGGACCTCTCTAAAAATAAAAACCGCCCTGGCCAGTGTGGCCCACTGGATAAAGCGTCAGCCTGCGGACCCAAGGGCCAGGGTTTGATGCCAGTCAAGGGCATGTACCTCGGCTGCAGGCTCCTCCCCACCCCAGGCCCTGGCCGGGGCTGTGCAGGAGGCAACCGGTCAATGTGTTTCTCTCACATCCATGTTTCTTTCAGTCTCTCCCTGAAAATCAATGGGAAAATATCCTCGGGTGAGGATGAGAAAACAGAAGAAAGGGAAAAGAAGGTGAGAACAGCATGCACACGCAAGACAAACAGAACATCGCTGAGGGTGGAGCTATCTACCTATAGACTCTTTAGAAATAAAAACATGAATAAACTGAAAAAAACACCACCAGCTCTCGGCTTCGCTGTGCCCACCACATTCAGATGTTCCTGCCACACGGGTGCAGCTAGATCCCTCCCCCCGCCTCCCCACCCCATGCTCCCCAAGATCCAGACCTCCGTGCAGCCGCCTGGGAACCTTGCCGCCAACCTTGTCCGGGAACTTTCCTTCCCTGCCAAGCCACCTGCCCAGACCCAACGCGTGCCCCCTCCTCCAGGCAGGACCCCACTTTATCTCCTGGGCACAAACGAGACCTAGAGAGGTCAAGCGACAGGCCCAAGGTCACGGAGCTGGTGAGCAGCAGAGCTGGGGGTCCAAGCCATGTCTGTGGGTCAGCACGGCCCCTGCACCCAGCCAGCAGGTCACGGGTTTACTTGAGACGCGTCCCCGATTAGAAAACCAGGGTGTCTCTTTAAACACCCGCAAACTTCGCGAACCGCCACGCAGCTCTGGCTCGAATGAGGAAGCCCAGGCGCCCGGACGCTACAGCTGCAGCCAAATGCAACCCCGTGTTCCTCTCCTGGAGGTTAACACACCGTCTCCCGCCAGCCCAAGCCTGGGGCGTCCGCGCTCCGCTCAGC